AAGAGGAAAAGAAAAGGAAAAACAAAAGAAAAAAGAAACAGCCCAAAGTGGCACTATGGCTCAAGTGGTAGAGCGCCAGCCTTGAGCACAAAGAGGCTCAGGGATAGTATCCAGGCCCTGAGTTCAAGCCCTAGGACTGGCAAAAAAAAAAAAATCTATTATTTATTATTATGAGGATCTTAAGTTCAAAGACATCCAGAAAGGACACGTGTGCTACCTGCAGCTTCTAGGACAGGCCCTGCATACACTAGTTGCTTAAAGTTGACTAGTGGGATGGAGAGAGGAAAGATGAACTCTGACCTTGCATCCCTCGGATAGGCAGGGCAGCAGAGTGCGATTCAGACCTCACCAGCCCCCGCCCAAAGAACTGCTTGCTGTCTGCCACAGGACAGTAACAAATGCCTGCCCTGATCTGACACTTGACACTTGTTGCAGGCTTCAGCCTAGTAGCCCCGCCCTCTGGTCGAAGACCAGAAGCTCCTTTTGTTCATGGACTAGTCTGGAATGTCTTTCCCTCCATTCTTCATCTGCAAACTCCTACACATCCTTCAAGATCCACCAGCAGCATTCCCTTTCCTAGCTTTCCTGTAAAGTGTGGTAGTTCTTCCAAAGCATCACTGTATAGTCTAGCAGGGCACCTGGTTCTTGCTGGCTGACAGCACAGAGCCCTGCCATAAGCATGAGGCTGCCATTGTGTGGATGCTTCCTTGACTGGTTGACAGAAGATGGACAGATGTTTCTGTTATAAAGGAGAGTTTGAGAGGCTTGAGCCATCCTAAGGATCTTTTTTTTCTTTCCCTAAAACAGGTAGGTGCCTGCACCTATCTGTGGCCAGGGTCAGCTGGGGATCTGGCTTCTTTTCAGAGAAAGCCTAATTGACCCAAAGGGGACATGGCTGTGTTTTGTCTTTAATGTGTATGAATATGTCATTGTTTACCCAGAGGAGTGCAATGCGAAGGCCTGGATGGGGGCCAGCTGAGGGGATGGGGGACTCAGAAGCCCCAGCACTACCCTCCAGCTCAGAATCTGCCCCCCTCCCCTCTCCATCCTCCTTGCAGAACCTTCCAGGTAGGGCTTGGGGCAAGCCCATGGCCACAGGCCTAGCTGCGGGCAGGGAGCAGGGCCCAGCAGGAAACCACAGAGGACAGCCTGATTGGATAAGTGCAGGGCTCAAGGCTGGTCAGCCACAGACTGTGGGCACCTGTCCCTCTGACCTGCCACCCAGGCTCCAGCAGCTGGACCTCCAGGGGAGAACTGGAGGGAGCGCAATGAGGCCTCCAGGCTGGACCTGGCCTGTTCCCATTTACCCCTTCCCAGGTTGAGGAGCACAATCCTGTCATGGGTTCCAACGATTTTCAGGGCTGAGGATGGAACTCAGAGCTTTGCACAGGCTAGGCGAAAGCTCTACTCCTGGCCTACATCCCCAGCTCCTCT